ACTGCCACTACTATTTCTCCTACTCCTACTCCTACTCCTACTGCTACTGCTACTGCTCCTGCTGCCGCTGCTGCTACTACTACTACTCCTGCTGCTGCTGCTGCTACTACTACTATTACTACTTTCACTACTACTACTACTACTACTACTATTACTACTAGTACTAGTACTAGTACTAGTACTACTACTACTACTACTGCTACTGCTACTAGTACTACTACTACTACTACGACGACGACGACGACGACTACTACTACTACTACTACGACCACCACCACCACCACCACCCCCGCCGCTGCTGCTGCTGCTGCTGCTGCTACACTGCGACTACGACTACACCTACGGCTACGACTACGACCAGCGCTACGACTACGCCACGGTTGGGGCTACGGCTAGGGATACGGCTTCAGCTGCCACTACGACTACTGTGACCACCACTACGACCACCACTATGACCACGACGACAACGGCGGTGGTGACGACTGCTGCTGCTACTACTGCTACTGCTACTACTACTACTACTACTACTGCTACTACTACTACTACTACTACTACTACCACTCCTTCTGCTGCTGCTCCTCCTGCTGCTGCTACGAATGGCTGATTGCTTGATGTATTCATTTGGACATGATGGTGTGGCTAGATGTGCACAGCAATTGGAAAACTCAGTACGAGAATGATTTGATTTTGACCCTTTCAACTCATGTTTCTGCGGTGCAGACAGATGGCTCAAAAAACTTTGAGCTGGGAGCCGGTGGCAGCTACAGCATTCACAAGAGTTCCGACGGAGGGGTTTCCACATTGGGAAAGTTCATGCAGCTGCACGATACTTCACATGAACCTGAAGGACACTGCGCTAGTCCAACCATGCTTCAAAGTGTTGGTGACGGAATGGAAGAACTCTGTTTTGTCAGAGTATTGGCTTTCACAGCTATGCAGCGTCCATGGCATGGAGGTTTTGCCTTCGCAAAACCACGTTGAAGCCTTGCTGACGGAGGCCAAAACTCCACAAGTGACCAACACCAAACAGAATCATTCCTTTGACAGATGCTGGTGTGAGAGTATGGCAACCAAAAGCAACCAAATATTTATGTCGTGCCCCCTGTGGGGTAGTTGTGCATTTTGTGTTTCCTTCTCCTCCCTCAGTTAAAGAGTTTGCTTGTGGGCGATCTTACATTCATCATCACTGCAGTGATAGTACCACAGGTGCGTACAGTGGTTACTTTTCATTCTTTTTGCAAGCTGGTGCTTATTTTTCTGGAGCAAGTAGACATACACGGTGGATGTGTTTTGACCAGTTCAATTCATTTTGTGCTGCATTTGTTGTACCTGCAAACGATTGTGTGGTTGACTCCTATGAAGAGGACGTGCAGTGTTGATGCCTTTTGTTTTTTTGGGCCAAAGCCCGTGTTCCAGGGATATTGCGTCATTGATGGACGAACTCAATTGCAGCTACAAATCCTGCAGGCCTGGTCCATGACAAGTGAGAATAATGAACGCCAAAGCTTTCGAGCTTTGAACAACCCTCTTTTTGTACCTGTGTGCAACATTAATCCAACATATTACATTCAATTCGGCTGAATCTAGCCAAATCTCTCGTATACAGCGTATGTTTTACGCATGTTCCTACGCATGAATCAACGTTTCGCTTCTACAGTGTGTGCAACACGAATACCCTTTCCTCTAGACAGCATGGTAGCCTGTGGTGGGTATTGCGCGCATGCAGTACATGTGGGGCGTGGCCGGATTCGGATGTGCTTTCGATCATTGAATGTGTCGCAAAGGCCACATAAAGCTGCAAAGCTCCAACCTGCTGCAAAACAAATGCTACCAATGTCGAGAGCTCTTCCAATGTGTGTAAGGATTTGCCATCCTGCCAAACGAGGTTTGTTAGGAGTTTGGATAGAAGATAGACTTTGAACCCGGCAGAGGGAAGCCGTTCAACGACATGTGGGACAGAGGAGAAGTGAGATGAAATTAGAGACGAAGTCTTCAAAAGACTGACGGACCATCCAACCGAAATGGAGAGAGGATTGAAAAGACCGAAGGCGACTTCAGCCAACTCGATTGTCCCATCCTCTCCCAACTTCCTCATCTACGACTTGGTGGATAGAAAAGGGGGATCAATAGGACAAACGTTTTTTTTGTTGCAGCTTCCGAAGTGAACGCCCGTTTTGCTCACCTCACACGGTCCAATTTCCTCCTCAAAAGCTATTTAGTTGTTGTAAAAGAGGGTGAGAACTGACCGTCACTGGCCACGCGAAGTGGACTTCTAATGGCCGGTAAGAAGAATAGACTTTCTTCATCGTTTTTGCAGGTTCGTTTTTTTGTGAAATCAGGCCCAGAGCGAGGTTGCGGAGCTTGTGCAGCATGGCAGGCACTGGACGGGGGAACTCCCGAAGGTGGTGAAAGATTTTGACAGACGGTTTTCTGGGTGTGCCACCAAAATCACGTTGCGAAGGCAAAAAGAATCGGTTTGGCTTTACTGGATTACAAAGGATCCTTGACGATAGCGTTAGATTTCATTTTAACGCTTTGTTGGACTAAGGCTTGAAAGCAGATTAATGATTGGGAAATCACTGGTAGGAGGGACAATCCAAGGTCCAGGCCGATATAACCGTGAATCAAACATGATGGCACTTGGGCAGCTTCCGGGTGCTTCCGGACGAGATCCGCAGCGGCCTCCTGGGACGAGGGCTGGTGACTAAGACACGTTTTGGTGGAGAGCTTCATGTCTTCGAAGATCATGGATGTCAACCACTAATACAATTCGCACACATTCACCACTTGTTTCGGAAGAGACATCTCCGAGATTTCTCAGATATCAGAAGTGCGGGTGGTCAACAGAGCAGTCAAGACAAATGACCTGGAGCCTGTTCTGAAGACCTTCACGTGTTCGGAAGCTCATGAGGAGCCAGCAAAGATTGTGTGCATTCGGAGCAGGGCTGTCCCCTTGCAAGAGAGGGACCAACTTAATCATCGTTCCAGCTAAAGGCCTTTTTTGTTGGAGATCTGTTGGTGTTGTGACTTGAAAAACCCAAGCGGAAGAATCCTGGGGCGGGTTTCTCTGGGAACGATCATCGCTCCGCCGCTCCGTCGCTCCGTCGCGGAGGCTCGTCGCGACCCCGGAAGTCGTCCGAGGTCCTGCCGCATTGCAGAGCTGCCTTCGCCCCTTTTGTGCCGAGAGGTGGCCAAAGCAGCTGATTTGATAGTTTCACACCAAGCACGCAAAACCCGGTGGGCTGATTTCGTTTGAACAGAATGTTTCTGTAGTAAGTGGTCGAAGTGGTCTACCAGCGTTGTGAACGGTGAGGCGTTTCCTGGAAGCCTGTGTTCTTTTGTCTTCACAGCTACACACTCTTCTATTGCCTCTCCATGCCTTTAGTGGCTTGTGTTGTTGTTTGCGCTCTGCATCCTCATTGACCTTAGCGTCCCAAGGCCCTGCTGGTCCCTGCTTCGCACAAGCTCACATAGCTAGGCACATGTCCTCTCTTCTTCGAGACAGTGCGACACAGAATCGGCCGAGATGTAAGAAGCCAAAGAAAACAAGCTAGGCCTATTGTTGGACGGGTACAAACTGTGTCCAACTGCCGTAGAATCTTCACGTTGGGTTCAAGAGGCGAACCAGTCAAGTTCAACGGCGCAACCGACGACTGTCGGCAGAATGCATAACAGCTGCCAAGGCCGGAATGATTGTTCTAGCAACAGAAGGGAGATATCACAATAAACTTAATGTGTCTTCGTTGAGCGGTGACTTCAAGAATGCTCACCGCTCTGCTGCTCTATAAAGAACGAAGAAAGGTTCGAAGACAACCCATGAACGCCATCGAAGTTGGGCACCGAAGGCAACAACTTGTCCCATGTAGTCGCAGCTTCAGCGAACAATCCAACGATGTGGTAGCCGCTCACTCAAGAAGGCATCCATGCAAGGAGAAGAGCTGCTCGCAACTTACCCCATCTTCCTCTTCAAGTCCACCTGCTTCGGCCTGCTTCTGCCGGGCAAGTATCAGCCTTGCTCTACTCCTCTACTCAGCACACCTTCCAACTCTTCATGGCCACGGACGAACATTGTCTTCCAACGCCTTGCGGTTGGATGCTTGTGAATGGGGGTGGCTTTGGGCGCTGTGTCTTCTCCAGCAACCAAATTTAGGGAGGCAACCCAATCTACAGCCAATCCAATCATGCACTTGAAGCAACATTTTCAGCGGGTTTTGTCTTCGACATTCTTCCAAATTTGCAAAACCATTGTTTGCAATATGGCCAAATTGGAGGGAGACCATACACACGTGCAGAGTGCCATAAACGTTTCACCTTTGAGCTGATCAGGGTCCTGCCAGTGCCTTGGAGACTCTGGATGCGACCTTGACCCGCCTTGCCAAAGTAGTGGCCTGGCACATTTTTTTGCTGGGCTCAAAGCACTGGACGTGTGAGTTTCCACAAAATGCATCCACTCTTGGGAATGCACGTGAGAGAGAGAGAGAGAACTTTGCAGCAAGAGACTTACTGGGTCCTACACCTGAACCCCAGCAACTGCAGAGCGATTGGCCAGAAGAGTCAGATGCAGTCAACCACGAAACTTTGCCATGGCAGTGCATTTTGTTCCTTTCTATTCACTGTGTAGAAAAAGGGTTCATTCAGTGTTCGTACGATTCATGGTAATAAGGAGAGCGGTTTCTCACAGTCAAAGGTTACCTGGCTGATGATTCGGTTGATGGATTCTGCATGCGCATGAACTTGTGATTTCTCCCAGGTCTCAAGTTATTGGCAGATTTCTGGACGCAGTGTGGGAATTCTACATGAGGCAAGTTTTTCCAGCCTCGGTGGTTTCAAGAGTGAAGGCCTGGAGTCATCGTCAGTTTCCATCCTTGTAAACAAAAAACAGAACTGTCAGCGACGGCTTCCGATCCATCCATGCTTGAAAGTCGAAGATCGGAGTGTTCCTCAGGATGTCGAAGGATTTTACTCGAAGATCCGCGTCGCGTCTTCCTTTGGGCCCAAGCAGCGACCCGCAGCGACCGACCCACGCCACCGACATCAGCCGGCGCGCGCGCGGGCGGCTTCCGCGCCAGCGCTGCGCCATGGTGAATTCGCTTCGGTCAACCACTCCGTTGTCCCATGCCTCGCTCAATGCGACTCAGGCCAAGGGACGCCAGAGTATCCTGGACAAGGCCGGGATTGTTTGTATGGAATTGAGAGCGGCAGAGTGACAAGTCGTGCAGACAATCATAGACAATCATCACTGAAATCCTCTCGTGTGAAGCCAAGAGTTGATTTGTCAGCAAGGAAGAATTGAATGTAGGTGCCTCACAAGGCCGGTTCACCAATTCCGAGGCAAAGCCTCTTGACACGCTGACTGCCCAGGAACACTTGAGAAGAGCCCTTTCAGTCATTGAGAAGGAGCGGTCATACTTCGTGAACACTTTCCCTATCTTGGTGTGATTCGGAGGGAAACACCACCATGCTCCATGAAGAAGGGTGTTCCGCACAAGAAAGAACCATATGCTCGTGCACTTGGTGGGATCCACTGTCTCAAGTGGTCATAATGGGACTCTACGGTCGACCACGAGCGATAGTACCCACACCTGCGAAAACACAGAAACAAATCCATGCTCGTTGTGGGTAGTATCGCCCGTGCACCAAGGGCACAGACATTTTGGAGCAATGAATTTATTGACCGTTGTTTCGTTGGTGCCCTTGTGGCAGACCCTACGCTTTGTTTCGGTTCTGACTTTGCTATTTCGGATCAGCTGTGACACATGAAGAGCTGATGAGGCTTTGCCAATGCATAGCTGCCACAGCTTTGCAGAGTGCAGCCTCCACACTACCCTTTGCTAGTGGAAAAAAGTGAAGAACCTGGTGAGTGGCAAAACGTGCCAAGTCAAAAGCACGGGCCCATTGGAATAACTTCAGATACAATGCAGGGCGTCCCAAAATGCTGGTATGTCGTGAGAGAGCTCTGTTCCAGTTTCGCCATCAGGAAGTAGGGTCTCCGTTGGTGGATATTTGTCAAACAGAATGGAAGCAGAGGATGGAAGCAGATGCCCTGTTTCTGAGGTCACACGGAAAACAACATATTTTGCATCGTGGAAATTGATCAAGATCTGACTTTTTGAGAAGGTATGCGCGGCTTGGGTTGACACAAGAGCGAAGGAGAATCCATCAGGTTGTTCCACACGCCTGCGATAGGGGCTTGCCACTTAGTTGCCCATCGAATACGAGGCCAAGCTGCTCAGCTACTCAGCATGCTCAAAAGCAAAGCCATTTGAGTGACAGGGAAGTCCCCCAGTCCCACAGTAGTATATATGCATACAATTGCATACGATCACGCGTGCTCAAGAGTCCACGGGAAACGCAGACGAGCGTGTTGCCCGGCCGCAGGTCGAAGCAACTAGCATACAATTGCATACATATATAGAGCCCAAGTAGAAAGGATCTGGTTTCATTATGGAACCTTTGCAATGTGGGCGCTCAGACTCGTTGACTTTGCAGGACTCGTTCAGATACCAGAATGCCGAGAAGCAGAAACCATGGATGGACGCAGAATCGTGGTCGATACTGCGTGTGCAGATGGCAAAAGTGGTGAGGAGTCAGACCTTTGAGACCTAATAACAAAGAACGATACTAGGGGCTCCTGGCCATACTACTAGGAGCAAGGACGCTACTATGGGCTCCTGGCCTTACTACTAGTAACCAGAAGCTATTAGAAACAAGAAGCCATCAGTTTTCTGATTTAGTGCGCACTCTGCACTTTCATTTGACCGTGAGGAGTCAGACCTTTGAGACCGTGATGGGTTTGGTGATCATTGTAAATCTCATGTCCCGAGACCTAACTTCGGTTTGGGTCGATCGCGTCAGGGCGGACGCGGGGTGAACGCTTTTTTTGGGTTGATCGGAGAATTCTTTTCATTGGTTGCGATGCACGTACCAATGTACCATTCATGTAGCAGTTGCATCAAGCAACAGGAAACTGAGAGGTAAGCCATTGGTGGAGAGTAGTTTTTGGTTTGTTTTGTGATGTGTAAACAGGCGCATATTCGCATTCATCATGTGGCGAGCACATGCAAAGCTCACTTTGGTGAATGCTTTGCAGGGATTGCAGCAACTTAAAGGATTCACACCGCGAGCACCAGGGACTTGTTCACCCACTTCCGTGGCAACGATGCGCGCCCGTGTTGCGCCATCCAACATAAATGAAACTCTTGTGGCCCTTTTCAAGGCTTATGGTGGTCGAGACAGATGCTGATGCCAGTTGCTATCCACTCTTCAGCGAGAACACCAAGGAATGCCCAAGTCGCAGTAGCTTGAATCCAGGCTGCATACAATCTTAGTGCAATTCTTATTGATTTTCAAAAGTCAGATCTCTTGACCATGTAGTAAAATTCATCAGGTAATATTGGGTGCATTTATGTTTCCGAGTATCCATCCATCCATCCCCTGAAACCCGCCGGGACCCCCATTAAAGACACAATTGAGAAGACTCTCAAACAAAGAAGGGGTGACCATATGCACACACACAAATACGCATATATATATATTATATATATACATACATACTTACATATACATGTATATCTACATACATACATATTGGACTGTGGGAGTGGGACTTGGTACTCGGTACTTTGCCTCCTGAAGTGCGTACCTATGTCTACCTTGCGTCAGTGACAACTACCTCCTTCAGCCTTTGTAGGGAATTTGCTGCTGGGGTCGACAATATTTATGTGGACAGTTCTATTGACAACTGCCAATTGGAGCGCCTTTGGCTCAAGAGCAATAGAAGAACCGTGTTGAGGCTGGAGAGAAAGGTTTGAACGACCATATCGTATGTATATGAGCTTTTGGTTAGGAGCGCCCTACTTATGCAGCGGCCTTTTCAACATCCATGGAATCCATTGTAAAATCAATTGAACTATAGGTTTCTATTGGTTTCCAATCAAACATTGTTTTCAAATCTTCAAGAACATCAGTTAACATGTTGATGTTGAGTTGGTGTGGGTGTGTTGTTGTTTTCAACTATGTGTTTGTAATTGGGTCCCAATCAAAATCCCTTGTACATTCTTCTTCCTTTTTTTGTAGCAAGTCAAAAGTAGAAGCTCAAGTCTACATATCTTGCAAGAATCACTCAAAACAGGGGTCATGGGGGGGGTAGTATATATATATATACATATGCACATACACATACATATCCTCACATGTACATATATACATATACATGTATACACATCATGGCTGTTTTTGGGGTTGTGTTGGGGTTGCCCATCCTCCACTGCAAGGGGCCAGTCTTGTGAAAAATGGGCCCGATTGCTCATCCCAGGATCCCTTGGTTGCAAAATGCCAATCTGGCCTTGCTCATGGTCTACACGATAGAATGTGCCTGTAGGGCATTTGTCGAGCGAAGCCTGTACGCCGCTAGCCACAAATTTGGAGTGGTTGGCCAAGCATATCACATTTTTGAAGGCAAAAAGGTCAAGGTTTTTGGCTTAGGAGATGCTGTTAAGGCAGGTTCTGCCTTGTTAGCCGGGAAGGAGGGAAGAGGGGAAAGATGAGACCTTGTGAGGCGAGGAATGTCTGGAACTTGGTGGACTTCTGCACCATGCTGGCGGGCTGGACCGGCCTGATATTGGCACCTTTTGTGAATTTGAGCGTTTTGCGGAACCTCGGATTGGATGGACCGCCTCGTTGGGACCCGTTTTCCATGAAACACATTCGCAAGCGAAACTACGGTGAAACTCTTTTCTTGGCCAAGATGGACACTCTCAAGGTTTGACCAGACTGCAAAGACAAGAGGCCACCTTGAAAAGGGCCCTGCAAGCACTTTCCAAATCTATGTACATCAATGCCCTGGAAGAGAGGCACAACAAACTGGTTTAAGGACAAGGCTCTTTGTGCGACAGTCCTAGTCACTTTGTATATCTAGACTATGGAGACTCTGAGAACACGACATGCCAGCCACAAGTCCAAACAATGCTCTGGGCTTACTGTCTGAAACACGTGATGCAGCTGTTATTTTGCACCAGCAGCATGGCTTCTTGCCCAGCAGCATGTCCATGTTGAGAGTCAAGAGATTCCAGCATCAAAGACCCTTTGAACCACTGGTGGCAATTTTGACGCAACTGTTTTATGAATGAAGCAGTGAAACGAGAGCAGAGAATGCCCAAGACCAAAGCTTTGGGTGTGCAAATGTTAAAACAGGACTCTAGATTGCAACCAACCTCATAAGACCTGTTATTTGGTGCAAGTGGCAGGCATTATTTCTAGGACAAGCCTGAATTCTCAATGCTTGCGAAAGCTTGGGAACACAGTCAGACTGCAATGTCTCCACCCAGGATGACGGCCCATCCCAGCAACCAAACCAGGCCTATCCCATGTGTTTGCATGCACGGGATTTTTGGGACAAGTCGTTCTTGCTAGTGCCAACCGAGGATAGTTCGAGTTGCTCGTCTGGTGAGATTGGGGCGACTCGTGATCTCTGTGCCGGAGCTCTATTGGTTACTTAGTGGCTTGAGCTCCTCCTTCAAGGCCTGATCTTAAAGAGAAGGGTTCTGCACACGTTCTTTGATCCCGTTCCTCTTGGATTCATTAGTCAGGTTCAATAACTCCTCATCTATGTACCATGTGTGGCCTTTGATAGTTTGAGCTGTTCAAGATCCGCCCCCTGGCCTCGACAGTCATAGGCAATCCTTTTTGGTTCGCTGATGCTGATGTGCGTAATCGTGGTTTGGTCCATCGTTGTGGTGGAGTTCCTGCATCCAGTGAATGTTCAGAAGCACACCTGGCAGATTTGCCGTTTTTCTTTTTCACCACCCGGGAGTGTCTTGTTTCTCCGTGTTTTTTTTGGGTGTAAGGCTCTGTTTCAGGAGACCCATGTGAACCTAAGGATCCAGTATGACAACAGCCTCTGTGAACGGTGCCAACGTGGCTTCCAGAATGTTTACGCGGCTTCGCTGACCATTTTCTCGCAGATTGTTGCTGGCGATCAGTGGGGCGCGATTTCGCTCCCCATGGCGGAGCACAGTCCCTGGACAGCGCCAGTGATTTTCGTCATGATGACGACCATCTCCCTGGGAGTTATGACGCTTGAGCTTTCAAGTTGGCTTTAATGAATGAAAAACTTTCTAGCTGGAAGTGCATGTTGGATGATCAACCTTGCCCATGAGAGACAGCAAGGCAACACCATTTAGCATGTCTGGTACGCCTGTTTGAAACTCGCAACCCTTTCTCCTCTGCCAACACGCACACAGACATAATTATATATATAATGGAAATGCACCCAAAGAAGTTGATGAGGAACAGCTAGAAGTCCACAGTTCTTCTTTGAACAACTGTTTCGGTGGATACAAGAAAACCGTGTCTCAAGTGAAAAGGCCTTCAAAAAATGGTGTGACAGCAGACACATGATAACAGGGTCCCGTGGTGCCACGTGGAGAGATCGATGAATTCTCCAATGGGTTCCAAAGATGGTTCCAAAGTGCTGAGAGCAGAGAAATCACTACAGACCTCTTCTCGAAACAGTCACCCGCTCCAAGCTTGGGGATCAGCTGTGTTTCGTCACAATTCGTTTCTTGCTTCCACCTGGATTGGGACAAGTTCGACCGCGATGTGATCCATCAGATCCAGCTCCTTCCGTAATGGTGTTATTTTTTTTTTACAAACTGGTTGTCAAAGCTATCCCGGAGTTTCTGTGTGAGGCTAACGTGCCGTATGGTTAACTGACATGTGACATGTTCCATGTTTTGCCTCACGGCGAGTTGAGGAACTTGATCCTGGCAGTGATTGTGGAGAAGGCCGCTGAGGCAAGGGAGAAAGACTCTGCACGAAAGAAGGAGAAGAAGGATCAAGAGCGTGAAGCCCACTTGGTCGAACTTGCCATGCTTTTCGACAGCATGGATGAGAACTGCAATGGCAAGCTAAGCTTAGAGGAGATGCTCAACGGTTTCGACTGCAATCCGAAGTTCCGGCAATTGATGGATTTCATGGACATTGCAAGAGAAGAGGTGGAAGTCGTTTTCAACGTACTGGATGGCAATGCCAGTGAAGAGGTCGACTATCTGGAGTTCTGCAAGCATTTGTCGACCTTTCGAAAAAGGGATCCGGTGATGATGCAATCGATGATGAAGTATTCCGTCATGGAACTTCGGCACCTTTTGAAGCAGGACATCATGCAGGTCGAGCACAATCTTGTGAGGGCTGCTTTGAAGATGAGTCAGATTCAGCTCTGGCCAGACATACAGCCAGAAGCAAAACATTCAAAAAAAACGCACCAAACACAGACCTACAAAACTTCTTTTCCCAGACCTACAAGACAGTCTTGCTTGACAGGTCTTGCAGCTGCAGACGCAGATGCTAACGGACCAGCTGACGTTATTTCGGAAGATACCGGAATGCGCGGAGGATGCCAAGGAGAGATTTCGGCAACATGGTGCAAGTGGTGTTTCGATGTTTTCATACGGTGCATGTCATGTAGGTGGAATATCACGGGACAAACAAGCGACAAACACCTGCAATCTTGACAAGAACTAGGTCTTTGTGGTGGGAGTCTGTTCTGTGGGAATTTCCAAGCTTGTTAATGTTGGATCCTGATTAGTAAAGGGGGGTCCCCCCTCCCTCAAACAAGTGGGAGACCCTCTATATTAAACTACCACCAAAACAAATCTGGGTTCCTAGGAGGATTCCTTTTTGTAATTGATTGTAGTATTCATTTTCCTTTCTCTCTTTGTAGTAGTAGTAGTAGTTGTTGTTGTTGTAGTTGTAGTAGTAGTAGTAGCAGTAGCAGTAGCAGTAGTAGTAGAAATAATAGTACTTGTAGTTGTAGTTGTTGTAGTAGCAGTATGAGTAGTAGGAGTAGCAGTAGCGGTAGCAGTAGCAGTAGAAGTAGTAGTAGTTGTTGTTGTTGTAGTAGTTGTAGTTGTAGTAGTAGTAGTAGCAGCAGCAGCAGTAGTAGTAGAAGGAGTAGCAGTAGTAGGAAGTAGTAGCAGCAGCAGGAGTAGTAGTAGTTGTAGTCGTAGCAGCAGTAGTAGTAGTTGTAGTAGTAGTAATAGTAATAGTAGTTGTAGTTGTAGTTGTTGTAGTAGCAGATCTATTTTTCCAGTGGAGAACACATTTCACAATTGAGAACCCTAAAACAAATCTATTATTGATGATCAGGTGCCTTCCTGGTCTAC